AAATACTTTTCATTTCTTTACCTCTACACAAATATGGAGAATGACAATTCTTGTGAGAAAATATATTTCACCACTACTTGAATTTGTAGATTTTTTTTAAAGACTTATTTATTGGGGCTGGCACTGTGGTGTAGTAGGTTAAGCCTCTGCCAGTTCCTGTCTAGGCTGTTCCTCTTCCGATCCAGCTCTCTGCTATGGCCTGGGAAAGCAGTAGAAGATGGCCCAAGTCCTTGGGCCCCTGCACCTGCGTGGGAAACCTGGAAGAAGCTCCTGGTTCCTGGCTTTAGATCGGCTCAGCTCTGGCTATTGCAGCCATTTGGGGAGTGAACCAGTGGATGGAAAACCTTTCTCTCTGTCTCTCCCTCTGTCTGTAACTGTGCCTCTCAAATAAATAAGAATTACAGAGAGAGAAGAGAGACACAGGGAGACAGATCTTCCATCCACTGATTCATTCCCAAATAGCCACAACAGCCTGGCCTGGACCAGGCTGAAGCCAGTAGCCTGGAACTCCATCCAGGTCTCCATGTGGGTGTGTTACCGGAGAAGCAAAGGGTGTTTGTCTCCGCCCAAGACAGAATTCAGGCATGAGACAGAGAGCAGGGGAAAGCAACATAGCAAGGTTTATTAGGGTAGGGCCATCCGTAAGAACGGATGGGCACCTCTCCAGACAGAACCTGAGGGAGAATGTGTAGTTTGCATTTAGGCTGGGGCTTTTAAGGGGATGGGTCTTACCTTCCCTCCCCCTCTCCTTCTTCTCCCGAACAAAGGACTTGTTGATGTAAATACGAAAAATTCCTTTCTGAATTTTTTCCCCCTGAAGTTATGAAACAGGGGAAGTCTGGCGTCACCAGCCTTAGAGGAAGGATGTTTATCAGGCCAGGTAGAAGGGGCAGGACCCTTTGGAAGGTCATCAGGATCCAGGCGGGTGAGACTTTGACGTGCAGATACTGGGCTTCTGGAGCTTCCACAGTAGGTACTGGTCTTCAGGCCTTTCTCATACACACATAGGCTCAATTTCTGACTTCCTACCTAACAGGTGCAGGGTCCCAAGTAGTTAAGACACCTTCTGCTGCTTTCCCAGGCACATTAGCAGGGAGCTGGATTGTAAGTGAAACATCTGGGTCTTGAACCAGTGCCCACATGGGATGCCTGCATTGCAGGAGATGGCTGCACCTGCTGTGCCACAAGGTGGGCCCCATAAAGAGAGATTTTAATGGTCTTTTCTCAGAATTGGTAAAATTATAAGACAAAAATCAGTGTGAGTATAAAATATTTGAATAGCACAATAATCTTAATTATCATAATTAACAAATGTAGAGTCCAATAGTATAAAATTGCAGGATACATTTTCTTTTTGGGTACAAACGGAACATCTAAACATTTGTTTACATGAAGGCCACAAATCAAGTCTCAAAACATTGTGAAGACTGGAATAACACAAATATTCTCTGACAATAAAGCTAGAAATTAATGAAAGAAAAGTCAGAAATGGCTACATGTGTTGAAATAAAGCAATGAATTTCTAAATAACCTATGGGTCAGAGAAGAAGAAAGATGGAAATTAGAAAAGATTTTAAACAATGATAATGAAACTATGGCGTGTTTGTGGAGTATGAAATCCCATCAGGCCTTTGTTACATTCTGAACAATGAGTTGCACAAGACACAAGATGCTGGAAGTCTCAGGGCTGAATTATGGAGCCTTTATTTGTGAAAGCCGGCAAAGCCAGCAGCTGCCCCGGGTATGTGTTTTCTGAATTATGCAGCCCCGATGGAGCTCAGGGATAAGCTTTTAAAGGCAAAACCCACATCCTGTTGGGAGTTAATTACAAAGCCAAGCATCTGTTACAGAAGCCAGAACCAGCAAGGTTTCGCTTATCTCAGAGGGCATTGAACCACATTTTCCCAGCACTCAATGTAAACAATCCTTACAGATAACATTCTTAGAAGGCTAGTTTTTGAGTCAGTTGTGCAACTGGTCAGAAAAATAGAGGACCAGCAGAGTGACTAGAGATTATCCAGAGACAAAACAGAGTGACTTAGGTCAGGCCGTAGCTCACTTCACCTTTTCCTGGGATAGAAATGTGTGAACTGATTCTACAATGCGCCTGGAAAAACAAAGGACCTGGAGAGCCAAACCCAATTTGGAAAAAGAACACAATGAGGGGGGCCACACTTCCTGACTTGGGGACTTGCTGCTAAGAGCAGTGATGGAGAGCGGTTTGGGCACGAGTGCGGACACACAGAGCAGTGAAACAGAATGCAGTCTAGAGACAGAGGCACACACTGGGTCAGCTGACTTTTCAGCAAAGGGGTCAAAGTAATTCAGTGGAGAAAGAACAGGCTTCTCAGCAAATGGCGCTGGTTTTGTTTACGTGACAGTTTGAGAAAAGCAAAGTTGTAGGGACAGAAATGAGATCAGCGGTTTTCAGGGGCTGAGGGTTAACTATAAAAGGCACAAATGAGATTTGGTGGAGTGAGGAATAAAGTATTTCTTGAATGTGGTGGTAGTTACTCATAAAATCTATTTCAAAAAAGCCGGTTTTACTGTGTGTGAATTATACATCAGGGCGGGCGCTGTGGCATAGCAGATTAAGCTGCTGCCTGTGACTTTTTTTTTTTTTTTTTTGAAGATGGGCCATCTTCTACTGCTTTCCCAGGCCATAGCAGAGAGCTGGATGGGAGGTGGAGCAGCCGGGACTAGAACCGGCGCCCATATGGGATGCGGGCACTACAGGCAGTGGCTTTACCCACTATGCCACAGCACTGGCCCCATAAATAAATACCTTAAAAAAAAAAAAAAAACAGATAAAAGAGTTCTCCAAAGTGGTTGTAGCATTTTAGGCATCTGATGGCATGGCTGTTCTGGTTTGTCCACATTCTTACACACATTTGTTAATGTTAGTTTGGGGAAGGTGGTTAGCCATCCTAATAGACTGTGGTTTGTTTGCATTTCTCTGTTTACTAAACTTGAAGACCCAGGAGCTTCCTCTGTGAAGTCTCCTTTTAAGTTTGTGTCTTTTCCCCACTGGATTCTTCTTTTCCTGATTTATAAAAGTTCTTTGTATTTTTGGGTTCCAGTGCTTTGTCAGAAATATATACTGCCCAGATGTTTTTTCCAAGTCTGCAGCTTACCTATTCATTTTGTCAATCATGCCTATGAGTGAACAGAAAATTTAAATTTTGAGAAAGTCCAAGTTATTTTTCTTTTACTGCTCTCTCTGGTTCCTGTATAATGCAGGGTCATGAAGTTATTTCCTTGTGCTTTATGTAGGAACAATGCAGCTGTGATAGTTGGTGTGCTGGGAACATGGAAGGAGCATGGGTCCCTCTGAAAGCGATGTTATGGAACAGGCTATCAGATTTACAGAGAATGGCTAGTGGAAATCAAGACTTCATGATAGCTATCATCAAAGAAAAAAATCAGATCTGAGAAGGAGGGTAAAATAAAAATAAAATGCATAGAAGTAGATAAATACATAGAAATAAAAATAGAATGCATAACCTCTAGACTAAGGAAAGTAAATTAATACAGCACAAAGCAGATGGGAAAAGGACTACAAAAGCACAGTAAATAGAAAATATGTAACTAAGTGGTAGGAACAAGTCCAAACATACCATAGTTACCAAGTGGATTAATTAAATTGGCTTAAAACAGAGACTCTCAGACTGTTAAAAATAGAAGGAAAAATCCACCTCTATATTGTAGTAAATAAGAAAATAGAAAAAAATGAGCAAGGTAAAAACTAAAAAAAGATGCCATCTTACCAATATAAGACAGATTAGAATTTCAGACAGCAAGTACTGAAACGGGGGCCAGTGTTGTGGTACAGCAGGTTAAGCCACAGCTGGTGACGCTGGAATCCCTTATGTATGTATGTATGTATTTGAAAGGCAGAGTTACAGAGAGGGGGGGGGGAGAGATGGGTCTTCCATCCTCTGGTTCACTATAGATGGCCATAACAGCCAGAGCTGAGCCGATCTAAAGCCAGGAGCTTCTTCAGATCTCCCACATGGGTGCAGGGGCCCAAGGACTTGGCCCATCCTCTATTGCTTTCCCAGGCCAGAGCAGAGAGCTAGATGGGAAGTGGAGCAGCTGGGACTCGAACCAGCACTCATATGGGATGCCAGCACTGTAGGCAGCAGCTTTACTTACTACGTCACAGCACTGGCCACTGGAATCCCTTATTACAGTGCCAGCCTCAGTCCCAGCTTCTCTGCTTCTGATCCAGCTCCCTGCTAATGCAACTGGGAAGGCAGTGGAACAAGACCCAAGTGCTTGGGTCTCTGCACCCACATGGAAGACCTGGAAGAAGCTCCTGGCTCCTGGCTTCAGCCTGGCCTAGCCCTGGCTGTTGTGGCCATTTAGGGAGTGAACCCATGGGTGATTGCTGTCTCTCCCTCTCTCCCTCTATCACTCTGCCTTTCAAATAAAAAACAAATCTTTTTTTAAAGGTACTGAAAGGGACAAAGATTTAACATTAATAAGCATGGCTCTATTACCTACAAAATACAATCCTTTCTTTGTGTGTGTATTATAGCATAACTTGTAAATATACAATGGAAAAATATGACATTTAGTCGTCTCTTCATATGCGCAGGGAATTGGTTTCAGGTTACTAAAATCTGGGGATACTCCAGTTCCTTAAATAAAGTGACAGAACATTTGCATATGACCTATGCAATCTTCCCATATAATTTACGTCATATCTAGATTACTTATTATTACCTATAAACACATAATATAATGTAAATGCTATGTAAGTAGTTATTGTATTGTTTAGAGAATAATGACAAGAAAACAAAGACTGAACATACTCAGTATGGGCGTAATTTTTCCTTTTTTTAATGCTTAGGAAGTATAAATTTTATTCAATTATAAGATTCCAATTCACACCTAGGACAGCCAGTAAATACAAACACTTTGTACTTGCAAATCTACACACTTAAAGCGTGCACTTTCACCCAACCGCTTACATGTGAAATACTCTTGTACTAAAATCACTGGAACACTAGCAGGGGCCTCTTTCCGTGTTTATTCTTCCTCTTGGGAGGTCTGGTCCTCCCTCCTGGACAAGGGCGGTTGCTAGGATTCGTGGTAACCTGATCACCGCTGGGCCCAGCTGACCTGTGCTGCAGGGAGCTTTCCAGTTCAGGATGCTGCTTCCTCAGCCTCCCTGTGGATCTTGACTGGTGAATTAAGATTGCGTTGCAAGGCAGGGAGGGCTCCACTTTCCTGAGGGTGAACGCACACTTTGGGCGGTTCTGGTCTTGCAGGGATTTCCACTGATCTAAGGTGAATTCCTGAGTTGTTTTCTCCGGGCGCTCCTCAGACTCTACAGCTTTAACGCTGCAATGCCTTTCAAGCTGCCTTGGTGTATTGCCGGGTCTGTCTTCAGTCTTAAAGACTGATGGTCCCCTGCCTGGAGACACAGTCCCATTTTCTCCCCCAAATTCACTCTTCTGGACATAAAATAGGACATAGGCACTTTGATTCAGGACAGAAGTAATGTCACAGGCTGTTACCTTCGCATCATCCATTTTATACCAGTGACCATTCCCAGCTTTAACATAGCAGAAGTAATGTCCCTTTTGACACCTTAATCCAACGTGGACGAGAGCAGCATACAGAACATATTCAAGTGGCCTCCCGCTTTGCTGAGACATATAAGGTCTCATATCCAGGCACTCAGGATATTGCACTTGTCTAGCAATTTTCTCGCCTGTGAAATCAGAAAACCGCTTCAAAACAAAGATAAGAACATTGCCAGAAGATTGCAAGACCAGTGTCTTGGAAGCAGCTGTCTTCTTTAGGCAGATACCACACTCATAGGCGTTTTCTCCATCCAGCTCTTCAGGTTTCACCAATTGTTCCAAAGCCTGCTGAACACTGTCTGCTGTCTTGATATCCAGGGCGATGTCCAGGTAAGGGTCCAATGTGTCTGAAACGCCTTGGCACTGGAGACATTTGATTTGGGACTTCCAGTAGCCTCCAAATATCTGATGGCTTAGAGACTTGTCCTCTTTGGGCCCAACCACATTCATGAGCCCAGGCAGACCTGCTGCCTTGAGGGCATCCACAGTGAACACCAGAAATTCATGGGCGTCTTCCTGCCTGTTTCTATGAAAGGCAGCAGCCAATGCCTGACAGGGCTGGATCACGTCACCAGGACTGTGGAGGGCCCAAAGAAAGTGAGTTTCCACAGCACACAGCATGCAGAAGCCTGACGGACGACAGGTTTGAGAGTGCGCCTGAGACAGCATGTAGTTGGCAAGGGGTGGTGTGTATGTGAGACACTGCAGGGTTGCATTCATGTAGCAGGTGTTCCCCATATTCTGCAGACCAGCCCCAATGCCATAAGGTCTCTTCCAGATCAGACCAGCTTCCCCACTGGGAGCCGGATCTGTTGCCGCAGAAGCCAGGTCATTTTTCAATTGGAGCTCTTTCTGAGATGAAGGCAATGGCTTCCTCTGTTTGTGAAGGGAAGCAGCCACCATGTCTCCAGGAGCCATTGTGACAAGGCTTCCCTCCTTGGACTTCAAGCGACAGGAAGATGCTTTCTTGTCAGAGACTGTCTTCCAATGATTGGGCATAATTTTTCGCTCCAAATATTTTTTATTTGTTGTTGGTTGATTCCACACTTGCAGAACTCATGGATACTGAGGGCTGAGTATAAATACAATGAAAAATGGTTACATTTACAATCCCAGTTGGAAGGCTTAATATACCTTTTTCAGTAAGCCACAGATTAGCAAGTATGGAGAGGATTTGAATTATGCAATTAACGAGCCTTCATCTCTTTAATATAAACAACTTTTTAAGATTCTTTTCAGGGGCTGGGGCTGTGGCGCAGCGGGTTAACGCCCTGGCCTGAAGCATCGGCATCCCATATGGGTGCTGCTTCCAGTCCCGGCTGCTCCACTTCCCATCCAGCTCTCTGCTATGGCCTGGGATAGCAGTGGAAGATGGTCCAAATCCCTGGGCCCCTGCACGCACGTGGAGGACCTGGATGAAGCTCCTGGTTCCTGGCTTCGGATTGGCGCAGCTCTGGCCATTATGGCCAATTGGGAAGTGAACCATCGGATGGAACACCTCTCTCTCTTTCTCTCTCTGCCTTTCCCCTCTCTGTGTAACTCTGATTTTCAAATAAATAACTAAATCTCAAAAAAAAAATTCTTTTCCAAGATACTTAGTTTAAAAAATTTGCCTACATGCTGGAACATGCTCATTCATGGGTTAAACCCCACCAGTTTCTAAAGCAAAGTAGAAATTATAATCATAGAGATATATTTATTATTCACAATTTATTCAGCAATACATACTATGTTCTAGACTCTCTTTTAGGTACTGAAAATGTGGTGGCAGGGGCCAGTGCTGTGGCGTAGTAGGTTAAGCATTGGCCTGCAATGCCAGCATCCCATATGGGTGCCGGTTCTAGTCCCGGCTGCTCCACTTCCCATCCAGCTCTCTGCTGTGGCCTGGGAAGGCAGTAGAAGATGGCCCAAGTCCTTGGACCCCTGCACCCACGTAGGAGACCCGGAGGAGGCTCCTGGCTCCTGGCTCCTGGCTTTGTATCTGCCCAGCTCCGGCCGTTGTGGCCATTTGGGGTGTGAACCAGCAGATGAACAACCTCTCTCTCTCTCTCCCTCTCTCTCTCTTTGTGTGTGTGTCTCAAGTAAATAAATACATCTTTTAAAAAAATGTAGTAGCAACCAGGAGACAATGTCCCTGTTCCCTAGGAGCTTCCATCCTAGAGAAAGGAATCAAATGAACACAAATAAACAAGTGATACATCCTATAAGGAGAATCAAACTGGATGATGCCATAGAGATGGGAAGGAGATTTTAGATTGTATTATTAAGAAAGACCTTAAAGAGACGGTGTCAGGATATGATGAAATAAAATTAGACATTAATACAAAAACCCCATCCAATTCAAAAATGACACTTATGTTAAAGAGGAAATAAAAATCATCACTTCAAATTGTGTAGATGAGAATGAAAATGAGAACACTAGATATAAAATCTATAAAATCTGGGCCAGCGCTATGGTGCAGCAGGTTTAATGCCCTGGCCTGAAGCGCTGACATCCCATATGGACACCGGTTCTAGTCTCGGCTGCTCCACTTCTCATCCAGTTCTCTGCTATGACCTGGGAAAGCAGTAGAAGATGGCCCAAGTCCTTGGGCCCCTGTACCTGCGTGGGAGACCTGGAAGAAGCTCCTGGCTCCTGGCTTCAGATCGGCACAGCTCCAACTGTTGCAGCCAATTGGAGAGTGAACCAGCAGATGAAAACCTCTCTTTCTCTCTCTCTCTGCCTCTCCTCTCTCTGTGTAACTCTGACTTTCAAATAAATAAATCTTTAAAAAAATCTATAAAATCTGTGGGATGAAGTTAGAGCTATCAACAGAGTCATTTATACACTCATATATGTATTTGAAAAAAAGAAAGATTTAAGACAGATTAACTAAGCACTCAATCCAAACCTTAAAACTGGTTCACTTCTCCAAATGGCTGCAATGGCCAGAGCTGAGCCGATCCAAAGCCAGGAGCCAGGAGCCTCTTCTGGGTCTCTCAGGTGGGTGCAGGGGCCCAAGGACTTGGGCCATCTTCCACTGCTTTCCCCGGCCATAGCAGAGAGCTGAATCGGAAGTGGAGCAGCTGAGACTTGACCAGCATCCAGACAGCAGCTTAATCTGCTGTGCCACAGTGCCGGTCCCTACTTTTTTTTTTTTTTTAAAGATTTATTGAAAGGCAGAGTTGCAGACAGGGGTGGGGGAATGGGTGGCGGGGATTGAGAGAGAGAAAGAGAGGGAGCGTGAGAGAGAGGTCTTTCATTTGCTGGTTCACTCTCCAAATGCCTGCAATGGCCAGAGCTGCACTGATCTGAAGCCAGGAGCCAGAACCTTCCTCAGGGTCTCTCATCTGGGTGCAAGGGCCCAAGGACTTGGACCATCTTCTACTGCTTTCCCAGACCAACAGCAAGGATGCTGGATCAGAAGTGGAGCAGCCAGGACTTGAACCAGTACCCATATGGGATGCCAGCGCTGCAGGCTGATGCTTAACCTACTAGGCCACAGTGCCGGCCTTGGATCACATGTACTTGAGTCATCACGTGCTTCCTCTTGGAATGTGTATTAGCAGGAAGCTCGAATTGGAAGTGGAGGTGGAAATTGAACCCAGACCCTCCAGTGTGGGAAGCAGGCATCCCAGTTGGCATCTTAACCATTGTACCAAGTGCTTGCCCCCTCCATGAACTTTTTGATGCTCTCTTTTACAAGTTACACTTTTATATCAATCAATTTGACATTTCAAATTAAATGGGTAATAGGAAAATATCAGTAATCAAATTGGCTTAATGAGGGTATAAATCTGAATAGGATAATAACAAAGAATGCCAAAACGTCGGTTAAAGATATATTACTTGAAAAGCAAACAAACGGGTGGAAGTTGTGGGGCAGAAGTTTAAACTGCTTGGGACACCCACATTCCATATAACAGTCCTTGCCTATATTCCTGCTGAACTAGGGCCATTTTACTTTTCATTTGTTCAGCTCTTTATGTACTAGAGCAGCAAATCTTTGACTATAATATAAATTAAAAATACGTTATCACAAAAATAACAAATAAAGTGTTAAGTTAAAAATTCATTTATCTGAAAAAAAAATTTTAGCCGACTAAACTTCAGATTACACCTAACAAAATCAAGTGCTATTGTGATCATTATTGTAGTACAAAATGAAGCATGTGTATCAAAATTTGAAATGTGAATAAATCCATTCTACCTAAAAAAAAAAAAGAAAAAAAATGCCGAACAAAAGGAAAAAAGTGGCGATTACCATGCTCAGACTAATTGGGACCTTCTCCCACCCTTCAAAGAAGAGTGGAAAATTCTCTTGCTATATAAACTATTTCCAGAACATAGAAAACTTACCAATTTATTTTTACAAGTCTAGTATAATTTTAACACCCAAACTGGAAAAAGATGTTGCACAAAGAAAGAAATCTATGAACTGATGTCATGAACACACACCTGTCAGATATGTGAAATCAAATATTAGCAAATTGAAATCATTACCACGTGTGATTTATCCCAAGAATTCAAGTGCAGATCACTGTTTGAACATTTTCTTGTAATCCACATTAAAATCATATTAACATTATGAGAATCATAAAACCATAAAACGTTTTGTTGAAATTAAACATCCATTCCTGAAAACAACTCTTATGATTCTAGGTATAGAGAAAATTTTCTTAATTTGGCAAAGAGTTTGTTCAGGAGATATAAAGAAATGCTATATTCAATGATGAGCCATTAAAAGCATTCCCAGGAGCAGGGCCTCCTGCACCCCATGTTGGAGTGCCTGGATTTGAGTCCCATCTCTTCTTCCAATCCTGCTTCCTGGGAGGCAGCAGAGGATGGTTCAAGTAGTTGGCTCCCTGCCACCCATGTGGGATACCAGGGTGGTGTTCTTTTTTTTTTTTTTTTTTTTTTTTTTTTTTGACAGGCAGAGTGGACAATGAGAGAGAGAGACAAGAGAAAGGTCTTCCTTTACCGTTGGTTCACCCTCCAATGGCCGCTGTGGTCGGCGTGCACCACGCTGATCCGAAGCCAGGAGCCAGGTGCTTCCTCCTGGTCTCCCATGCAGGTGTAGGACCCAAGGGCTTGGGCCATCCTCCACTGCACTCCCTGGCCACAGCAGAGAGCTGGCCTGGAAGAGGGGCAACCGGGACTAGAACCTGGTGTGCCGGCGCCGCAAAGCGGAGGATTAGCCTAGTGAGTTGTGGCACTGGCCTGGATGTTGTTCTTGGCTCCTGGTTTCTGCCTAGCCCAGCCCTGGGTGTGGCAGGCATTTGGAGGGAGTGAACCAGAGGATGGAAGCTCTGTCTCCACTTGTGTCTCTTTCTGTTGTTTTGCCTTTCAAATGGATAAAAATAAGCAAGTGAACATTCAAAAAAAATCACTCCCATTATAGTCAGGAGCTACATTGGCTATCAATGCCCGTTATCACCTGTACTATTCAATATTATTCTGAAGTTCTTGTTCCATGCAATAAGACAAAGAGGAAAAGTAAAAACAGCATGAAATGTTAGGAAGATAAAACATTAAACTATCACTTACAGACAATAGAACAATTTTCTATTTCTCTAGAAAATTGAAAAAAATCAGCTGACAGATTTTAGATCTAATGCTAAAGGTTCATTAGAGGAACAGCTTGACGCCAGATCATTCTGAAAGTGTAGCTTGACCTTGCACCGGTAATAAATGAGGAGGAAATGGATTAGAAGAAGCTTTGTGTTAGAACAGAGGAACGACACTGCCTCACAGACTCTCTCCTAATACTTAACAAAGTGCAGGGGAAAAAAGTAAAAGCACTCAGCAGGAGTGGAGGTGAGATCATGATCCACAACCAAGCACAGAAAGGGATGCAGTCCCATGAGATAAACATCACAAACTCACAGTTGCGTAAGGAGCCCAGAAGATTCCAGGGCTGAGCATTGTGATACAGTGT